CACTGTCTTGAACATTATGTGCTTAATTGTCCACTTATTGAGGAATACAGAGATAGACAGTACAATAACCTATGAGACATGTCAAGATATCTTATTAATGAAAATAAGATACCAGATATACTAAGCAAATTAACTAAATTTGCTTGTAACAGATAAGTGAACTGTAGATATGTAGATATAAATCCATATGTACACCTGTTAACCCTTTTGGGGCCTAATTCCTAGGCCTTTTGTGTATCCATATGCTCTTGTGCTACCGTCCACAGGATGGATATGGGGTGCACAATAAACTAGCCACTTCGGTGGCAAAATCTAAGGGAGGTGCTGGTAAAGGGCTCTTGATCTAGTGAACTGGACTTATCTTTTCCTTCCTTACATTGTTATTATTACATTCATTAGGGAATGCTAAACCCATGGGAGTCATACCGCTGAGGGAATGAAAGGCTTTCAGATTAGGATTCAGGGCCTAATTGAGTCCTTCCTTAAGAGAACCTGTGAATGCCTCTTATTCCCCTACGGAGTTTAGTGCATCCCCCCAGGTTAAAACAAATACAAATTTGGTATAGGTTTGGAGAATGCACTGCATGCTAGTGGCTTTCTTTTGTGCTTAACAATATTTTATTACATGTAAACTACATTGTGTATACTGCAGAAAAGTAAATGTTGCATTGTATTGTTATTATTATTATAATCAAAAAGAAGCGCTAAGCCACAAGGGCTATACAGCACATTGTATTGTATTACAATGGTGTAGATGTGTTGGTGGTGGTGTGGTTGTGGAGGTGGTGGTGTAAGTTTTGAGGTAGTAATTTTGGTGTATTATAGGTGTAGGTGTGGATGTGGGGGAGATGTGTGGGAAGCAAAGTTAGTTATCTCTCTCGACCTTGACTTGGCCCCATGGCTGGGCACTGTAGATAACATAACTGAGATAGCAGGTGCTGACCATAGCGGCATCGTTCTGATAAACCTCTTTCTCAAGTGTCCATGTATTTACCTATTTGTACTTACCTATTTATAGCTACAGCAGAGCTATGTGCAGCTTTAAGTGTTTTAATGTGTCTCAACTTGTTAAATTTCCAGTTGTTTTATTACCGAATACTATCCCTTGTATGCAATTCAATTTTTCCACCACTCTGTATATCATCATGCTACCTCTTCTTTAATCAGCGTACAACTGTTACCGCTCTTTCTCCCTCACGTTACTCATTTGTTTCATGAAAACAAAGACTGGATTATTATTATTATTATAATCAAGGGGGAAACGCTAAACCCGGAGGATTATACAGCGCCTGGGGGGGGGGGGATGTGGAAGGCATTCAGGCTTAATTCGGGGAACTGGAGCACAGATCCAATTCCCTAAATCAAGGGCCCCTCACCAACATCAAGGAACCTTCCATGAGGGGGCATAGTTCTGAAAAGTATAAAGAAAGACAATTTTCAGAAGCTTTTATTGGTATGTTTCACTCTGCAAAATGTGTCAATAAAAGCTTGTTCTGTAACTCTCCAGTCTTTGTTCCCCTCAAGGAAGGTTCCTTGATGTTGGTGAGGGGCCCTTGATTTAGGGAATTGGATCTGTGCTCCAGTTCCCCGAATTAAGCCTGAATGCCTTCCACATCCCCCCCCCCCGGGTGCTGTATAATCCTACGGGTTTAGCGCTTCCCCCTTGATTATAATAATAATAATAATCAGAACTATGCCATTTTGTTCACCTCACTTATTTGTGTTTGCTACTTAACTTCTTGTCATACTTTCTTCTGAAGCTGTGGAGTGTCTCCCCATTACATTATAGCATGTACGTTTCACTTCTTCACTTTTTGCACGCTGCAAAGTTCTTGAAAATGGATTTATTTAACCACCATCTGTGAGACTGCCGTTCCTGATGTACGAAATAGTCGATACCCCCCGAGTATTTTGTACACTGGGACCTTATCTCCTGTTCTATCTTGTAATGAAAGTAATTTTTGGTTTTCCAAGTTTTCAGTTCTGAAACTAATTTAATGGCAACCCTCATACTTTTTTTTTATCTTTAATATGCTGGCACAAAATAAACTAATCAGTTATTTGTCTGTCCAATAACCAAAATTCCTAATCCTGTCACTTGCCATTAAAATTTAATATAAATCAGATGAGGTATTTTGAAGATATCTTCAAAAGGTTGAGCTGTTACTCAAAACTCTGAAGAGGCCTAAAACATGGAATTCAATCTTCAGAACAGATAAAAATTTTGATAAATTGGAAAAGACATTGTAATTTGCTTGTAACAGATAAGTGACCTGTAGATATGTAGATAAATAAAAACTCATATGTACACCTGCTAACCCTTTGGGGCCTAGTTCCTAGGCCTTTTGTGTATCCATATGCTCTTGCGCTACCGTCCACAGGAGGGATATGGGGTGCACAATAAACTAGCCACTTCGGTGGCAAAATCTAATCTTGCAATGTCATTATAAGGCCTAGGAGATGTAATTCAGCACCATCAGGTCCAGCACCCTCAGGTGACCCAAGAGGTAAAAGTAAACTCTTTCAACCACAGGTAACATTTGAAGTCAATGTGTCTGACCCTGAGGCTGAAGTTCAAAGAACCAAAACTAAATTGTATTATACCTAGTTCAAATTTGAGACGAACCAAAGGTATTAAGATGATGCATAATATCTTGCTTTAGATATGAAGTTGTCATTCAGAAAAAGAGAAAAAAAAAAGTAGCTAAAGAAACAGCAAGCAACCACTGTAGGTCTTCCAAAAAGAAATGTTGAAACATAGGCAGTATCTCTACACATGTACACACTTATCAGGCACTCACCTCTAACACCCATATCGGCCCCTACATCCTCTGCTCCCATTTTGGGTGTTTCAACTCAAGACTTGTACCCATCTTCCCTTTGTAGCTATTTGAACCCTTAGTGAAATGCTTATATAACTTCATCACCTTACTGAAAGGTCTCCCTTCTCAGACGGAGAATTTCATTGCCTTATTAGATTAGTATATTCATGGAGAAGTGCTAAACTCATAAGGGTCATGGCAGCACTTGGGAAATGGGAGGTTATTGGGTTTGACCCAAGAAAGGGGAGGGTAGCTCAATTCCTGTCAAGAGCCCTTCACTGTCTTGTATAATAGAGCATCATTTCGCACGACTGGTGTTATGATAACTGCACTAGTTCTTGTTCTAATTCTCTTGTAAAAAGTCACTGAAATCACTGTACATAACTACACAAGCCTCAGATTAATTTTGAAATTATTATTATATGCCTCTGCAAAGACAGTGATTATGTGTGAAAGATGGTGAAAGTGTTTATTTTTGTTGGGTCACCCTGCCTCATTAGGAGACGGCCAACATGTTGAAAAAAAAATTTAAAGGAAGTACTAAACTTCGAAGTAAAGGAAATACTAGGTAATCAGGTTGGATCCAAGTGCACAGTAGCTTCAATTTCATGAATAAGAGCCCTTAACAGGCATTTAGGGTATTTTTTATTCAAGCATGTAAACTACACTATTTATATAAAGCACTGTTCTTTTTTCCTACCCTCAGACACCTTCCAGGCTCCTCATTCCAAATCCATTATTGGTAGACAGTTGTAGCACGTATGGCTAACAACTGAAAGACCAGGTTCACTCGAGTAATTCAAAATGCATGGGAAAGTCTCGACACCCGCCATCCCCTTTAATCTAGCAATAAATAGGTACCTGAGTGTTAATCCAATGTTTATAACCTTGGCTGTGAAAGAACTTTAAGAAGGAAGTTGTTTGACAGCTATGTGTTACTTTCTGGGAAAGGACCAAAGAAAGATCTCAAACACCACCTACACTGCTTAGCTGTCTTGGGTTAATAGCAATTAAGAGTTAATAATCCAAATTATTTCTAGGTAGTAGGTTGGTAGACAGCAACCGCCCAGAGAGGTACTACCGTCCTGCCAAGTGAGTGTAAAACGAAAGCCTGTAATTGTTTTACATGATGGTAGGATTGCTGGTGTCCATTTTTCTGTCTCGTAAACATGCAAGATTTCAGGTACGTCTTGCTACTTCTTCTTTCACTTAGGTCACACTACACATACATGTACAAGCATATACATGTATATATGTACACACCCCTCTGGGTTTTCTTCTATTTTCTTACTAGTTCTTGTTTATTTCCTCTTACCTCCATGGGGAAGTGGAACAGAATTCTTCCTCCGTAAGCCATGCGTGTTGTAAGAGGCGACTAAAATGCCGGGAGCAAGGGGCTAGTAACCCCCTTCTCCTGTATATATTACTAAATGTAAAAGGAGAAGCTTTCGTTTTTCCTTTTGGGCCACCCTGCCTCGGTGGGATACGGCCGGTGTGTTGAAAGAAAGAAGAATCCAAATTATTATTATAGTTCTGGGACAGTGCTAAACATATAGGGGTGATCCAGAGCCTGGGGAATGGAAGGGATGGGGGTAATCTGGTTTGATTCAGAAGAGCTCAAATTCCTTGGATCATGAATTCTTCACTAACATTAAGGTATACCCCCTTCCATGAGGGGTTTGATAGTAGAACCTTCCAGCATGATGGGTGTATTAGGTAAACATGATTAGCTTTTGGTTAACCTTATATTATTATATTCAAAACTAAGTGCTAAACCCACAAGGGTCATACAACAGGTTTACCCTTGTAAAATGTCATAAATCGGAGTAGTTACACAATACAATCTCCACACATACACACAAGAAAAAAAAACCATTTTAACTGAAATGCAAATGACAAGTTTGCCACCGATCCTGTACCAAACAAAGGATTAAAAACATAATGAAAGCAAAAGGTCAAATGACCAGATATTGAAGTTGTGTTATTTTTCTAAGTTTTCTGGTATAGCTCATGAAACTGCATTTTAATCATCCTTTGCCATACTTTTATTTTGTGGCAAACATTTTTTTTGTGGGGAATGTATAGTTGTACCTATGTAATTATATTATAAAGGAAATCCATTGCAACCCATTTTCCAAGTCTGCCTTTCTCAACATCAACACAGGGTAACATACTAGCTTTCTTATTATCATTTTTAATTAACTGCTTGTGTGTATAAAGAAATATACAGTATTACATACGACTTTTACTTTTAATACATTTAGCCTATATTGGTACATAATATAATAAACACAAGAGGAAAAAATATATTTTCTACTTATCAGTTACTTGGTGCATTCAATTTACCCAGTACATACTGCAGACAAGAGGCTTAAATTAAATATAACATCTAAAATCACTAAATCAGCTCATTATGATAAATGGTAATCCAAGTACTTTACTAAAAAAGGCATTAAATAATTATGAAGATAGATGAATGAACACCTAGCATTTAATATGTAGTGTATATTGAATTTAAATTTGTATAATGCAGACCAAATAAAATATGTTAGGCTTCACAAATCAATGACAGTAATAAAGTTATATTATACTGCAGGGCACCTCATAGTAGAAAGTAATACATATATTCTTTCATGACTAAGGAATACAGTGGCTGACAATATAGCATATCTGAAAAATAATATTTTTTTTTTTTAAGTAATGGTATATGCATATTTAATCTTTGCTTGAACCACACCAATTCCATTTTGGCTCTTTGTAGATATATTAAATTTTTTTAATATGGTTTCCTCCTCTTGCCTTTTGCAGGAATTTCCTTATCCTTCATTATTTAGGCCACTGCAGGTGATTTCCAGTCCATTTTTATCCTGTAAAAAAAATACTATAGGTATTTAAGGCAAATGAACATGATTCACATTAATTATACTTTATCTTATTAGCTAGTTCTCCCAGAAAGTAATAAATCTATGGAACAGTCTGTCCTGTGAGGCTAGAGATATAAGGACTGTGCTACAATTTAAAATGGGGAGGTTGAAGAGGGTTGGAATAGTTTCAAAAATGCAGTATTAAAATGTGGGGCCGAAGTTTGTGGTTATAGGAGGAAAGAGGAGTGATTGGTGGAATGATGACGTAAAGGGTGTGATAAAAGGGAAAAAGTTAGCTTTTGAGAGGTTTTTACAAAGCAGAAGTGTTATAAGAAGAGTAGAGTATATGGAGAGTAAAAGAAAGGTGAAGAGAGTGGTGAGAGAGTGCAAAAGGAGAGCAGATGATAGAGTGGGAGAGGCACTGTCTAGAAATTTTAATGAAAATAAGAAAAAATTTTGGAGTGAGTTAAACAAGTTAAGAATGCCTAGGGAACGAATGGATTTGTCAGTTAAAAACAGAGTAGGGGAGTTAGTAGATGGGGAGATGGAGGTTTGGGTATCAAATGATTTAGATAAAAGAAAAATTGGATATCAAATTGGGGAGGAGGAGTATGGAAGAAGTGAATGTTTTCAGATACTTGGGAGCTGATGTGTCGGCGGATGGATTTATGAAGGATGAGGTTAATCATAGAATTGATGAGGGAAAAAAGGCGAGTGGTGCATTGAGGTATATGTGGAGACAAAAAACATTATCTATGGAGGCAAAGAAAGGAATGTATGAAAGTATAGTAGTACCAACACTCTTATATGGGTGTGAAGCCTGGGTTGTAAATGCAGCAGCAAGGAGGTGGTTGGAGGCAGTGGAGATGTCCTGTCTAAGGGCAATGTGTGGTGTAAATATTATGCAGAAAATTCGGAGTGTGGAAATTAGGAGAAGTTGTAGAGTTAATAAAAGTATTAGTCAGAGGGCTGAAGAGGGGTTGTTGAGGTGGTTTGGTCATTTAGAGAGAATGGATCAAAGTAGAATGACATGGAGAGCGTTTAAATCTGTAGGGAAAGGAAGGCAGGGTAAGGGTTGAAAAGGTTGGAAGGAAGGGGTAAGGAAGGTTTTGTGGGCGAGGGGCTTGGACTTCCAGCAGGCGTGCGTGAGCATGTTCGATAGGAGTGAATGGAGACGAATGGCATTTGGGACCTGACAATCTGTTGGAGTGTGAGCAGGGTAATATTTAGTGAAGGGATTCAGGGAAACTGGTTTTTTTTATATAGCCGTACTTGAGTACTGGAAATGGGAAGTACAATGCCTACACTCTAAAGGAGGGGTTCGGGATATTGGCAGTTTGGAGGGATATATTGTGTATCTTTATACGTATATGCTTCTAAACTGTTGTGTTCTGAGCACCTCTGCAAAAACAGTGATTATGTGTGAGTGTGGTGAAAGTGTGGGAGACGGCCGACTTGTTAAAAAAAAAAAAAAATGGAAAACTTCTCTCCGGATTTGAAATACTATGTACATTATTAGGTAATACTCCTACTAATAAGCACTGAATGCTATTTCAACATTTAGATAGCATCTTGACTAAAGTGAATATGATAATGATATACACTGCTGATGTTATGAATGAAAAGAAGTTGGATGTCCTGGCCCTAAGCGAAACAAAGCTGAAGGGGGTAGGGGAGTTTCGGTGGGGGGAAATAAATGGGATTAAATCTGGAGTATCTGAGAGAGTTAGAGCAAAGGAAGGGATAGCAGTAATATTGAATGATCAGTTACGGAAGGAGAAAAGAGAATATGAATGTGTAAATTCAAGAATTATGTGGATTAAAGTAAAGGTTGGATGCGAGAAGTGGGTCATAATAAGCGTGTATGCACCTGGAGAAGAGAGGAATGCAAAGGAGAGAGAGAGATTTTGGGAGATGTTAAGTGAATGTATAGGAGCCTTTGAACCAAGTGAGAGAGTAATTGTGGTAGGGGACCTGAATGCTAAAGTAGGAGAAACTTTTAGAGAGGGTGTGGTAGGTAAGTTTGGGGTGCCAGGTGTAAATGATAATGGGAGCCCTTTGATTGAACTTTGTATAGAAAGGGGTTTAGTTATAGGTAATACATATTTTAAGAAAAGAGGATAAATAAGTATACAAGATATGATGTAGGGCGAAATGACAGTAGTTTGTTGGATTATGTATTGGTAGATAAAAGACTGTTGAGTAGACTTCAGGATGTACATGTTTATAGAGGGGCCACAGATATATCAGATCACTTTCTAGTTGTAGCTACACTGAGAGTAAAAGGTAGATGGGATACAAGGAGAATAGAAGCATCAGGGAAGAGAGAGGTGAAGGTTTATAAACTAAAAGAGGAGGCAGTTAGGGTAAGATATAAACAGCTATTGGAGGATAGATGGGCTAATGAGAGCATAGACAATGGGATCGAAGAGGTATGGGGTAGGTTTAAAAATGTAGTGTTAGAGTGTTCAGCAGAAGTTTGTGGTTACAGGAAAGTGGGTGCGGGAGGGAAGAGGAGCGATTGGTGGAATGATGATGTGAAGAGAGTAGTAAGGGAGAAAAAGTTAGCATATGAGAAGGTTTTACAAAGTAGAAGTGATGCAAGGAGGGAAGAGTATATGGAGAAAAAGAGAGAGGTTAAGAGAGTGGTGAAGCAATGTAAAAAGAGAGCAAATGAGAGAGTGGGTGAGATGTTATCAACAAATTTTGTTGAAAATAAGAAAAAGTTTTGGAGTGAGATTAACAAGTTAAGAAAGCCTAGAGAACAAATGGATTTGTCAGTTAAAAATAGGAGAGGAGAGTTATTAAATGGAGAGTTAGAGGTATTGGGAAGATGGAGGGAATATTTTGAGGAATTGTTAAATGTTGATGAAGATAGAGAAGCTGTGATTTCGTGTATAGGGCAAGGAGGAACAACATCTTGTAGGAGTGAGGAAGAGCCAGTTGTGAGTGTGGGGGAAGTTCGTGAGGCAGTAGGTAAAATGAAAGGGGGTAAAGCAGCCGGGATTGATGGGATAAAGATAGAAATGTTAAAAGCAGGTGGGGATATAGTTTTGGAGTGGTTGGTGCAATTATTTAATAAATGTATGGAAGAGGGTAAGGTACCTAGGGATTGGCAGAGAGCATGCATAGTTCCTTTGTATAAAGGCAAAGGGGATAAAAGAGAGTGCAAAAATTATAAGGGGATAAGTCTGTTGAGTATACCTGGCAAAGTGTATGGTAGAGTTATTATTGAAAGAATTAAGAGTAAGACGGAGAATAGGATAGCAGATGAACAAGGAGGCTTTAGGAAAGGTAGGGGGTGTGTGGACCAGGTGTTTGCAGTGAAACATATAAGTGAACAGTATTTAGATAAGGCTAAAGAGGTCTTTGTGGCATTTATGGATTGGGGGGAGGCGTATGACAGGGTGGATAGGGGGGCAATGTGGCAGATGTTGCAGGTGTATGGTGTAGGAGGTAGGTTACTGAAAGCAGTAAAGAGTTTTTACGAGGATAGTGAGGCTCAAGTCAGAGTATGTAGGAAAGAGGGAAATTATTTCCCAGTAAAAGTAGGCCTTAGACAAGGATGTGTGATGTCACAGTGGTTGTTTAATATATTTATAGATGGGGTTGTAAGAGAAGTAAATGCGAGGGTCTTGACAAGAGGCGTGGAGTTAAAAGATAAAGAATCACACAAAGTGGGAGTTGTCACAGTTGCTCTTTGCTGATGACACTGTGCTCTTGGGAGATTCTGAAGAGAAGTTGCAGAGATTGGTGGATGAATTTGGTAGGGTGTGCAAAAGAAGAAAATTGAAAGTGAATACAGGAAAGAGTAAGGTTATGAGGATAACAAAAAGATTAGGCGATGAAAGTTTGGATATCAGATTGGAGGGAGAGAGTATGGAGGAGGTGAATGTATTCAGATATTTGGGAGTGGACGTGTCAGCGGATGGGTCTATGAAAGATGAGATGAATCATAGAATTGATGAGGGGAAAAGGGTGAGTGGTGCACTTAGGAGTCTGTGGAGACAAAGAACTTTGTCCTTGGAGGCAAAGAGGGGAATGTATGAGAGTATAGTTTTACCAACGCTCTTATATGGGTGTGAAGCATGGGTGATGAATGTTGCAGCGAGGAGAAGGCTGGAGGCAGTGGAGATGTCATGTCTGAGAGCAATGTGTGGTGTGAATATAATCCAGAGAATTCGTAGTTTGGAAGTTAGGAGGAGGTGCGGGATTACCAAAACTGTTGTCCAGAGGACTGAGGAAGGGTTGTTGAGGTGGTTCGGACATGTGGAGAGAATGGAGCGAAACAGAATAACTTCAAGAGTGTATCAGTCTGTAGTGGAAGGAAGGCGGGGTAGGGGTCGGCCTAGGAAAGGTTGGAGGGAGGGGGTAAAGGAGGTTTTGTGTGTGCGAGGGGCTTGGACTTCCAGCAGGCATGCATGAGCGTGTTTGATAGGAGTGAATGGAGACAAATGGTTTTTAATACTTGACGTGCTGTTGGAGTGTGAGCAAAGTAACATTTATGAAGGGGTTCAGGGAAACCGGCAGGCCGGACTTGAGTCCTGGAGATGGGAAGTACAGTGCCTGCACTCTGAAGGAGGGGTGTTAATGTTGCAGTTTAAAAGCTGTAGTGTAAAGCACCCTTCTGGCAAGACAGTGATGGAGTGAATGATGGTGAAAGTTTTTCTTTTTCGGGCCACCCTGCCTTGGTGGGAATCGGCCAGTGTGATAATAATAATAATAAAAATACACTGCCAACAAGTTGCCATATAAGCATTCTGTAATTAGAGAAAAATTTCATCTACATATGCACCTTTTCATAAGTTGCCTCACTGCACAAGTCTCATGTCGTCTAAGGCTTATTTTCACTACACAAATTTGTTGTCTCCTACAAAATGTCCAGTTCCATTGCATTAATTATGTTTCATCAACATACTACATTCCTATCTACCTATAATCTCTCTCTTACACAAATCTCTTCTCCAATACAATCTCTACAACCCAAGTTGTATATCCACTCTGATATTTCAATGAGCTTTATAATCACACTACTGCATAGACAATGGCCATATTTTTTTTGTCATGCAAGACATAATTTTCCCCTGAAAATATTAAATACAAACAACACCCTGTATATTATATGACCCATGTAACTTTGGTAGCAGTACAGTACATGCATGCTAATGTACACTAAATGATTTTTTCACAAAATTCCTCCTAAAATCAGAGGAGGGGGTCAAATGTAAAGGCATATCTTAAGTGATAGAAAACACAGTAACTTTTTATATTTAATATGCACTTATATTTTTTACTACACTGATCATTTCCTGCCAACACAGGGTTACTCTACCTTAGTGAGAAATTCAGAATTTGATGTCGACATAAATCACAGCCATTTTATTCTTTAAATTAACCTTACCTTTACCTTTGAAGTTTTGAGAGTTTCACTACTCTCGGAGCCCGAGAAAACATTTAGTATAAATAGGCTATGAACTGTGGTACTATATGGTGGCTATAAATAGCGATAGTGGAAACTACAATGTACATTTGGGTTATGAAAATGAGAAGACATAATGTAAATAGAAAGTTATTCATATCAGAGAAAGTCTTTGTTAACACAAAGTTTCACTCAAGACAGCTTTATCTGTCATGATAACAAAGCTAACTTTAAAGTTCATTCAGCATCTACACAAAGTTACACAGAATCCCTTGCAGTCTCAAAAGAAAATGAAATTATCTCTTACCTCATCTGAGGCATCAAACCTAAAACTGGATTCCGGCCTGCACATCCCAAAGTGTGTCAGCTGATTTCTTCAGCTGGTCAATTTCAGCTTGTGTGAGTGTTTGCTTGATGATGTGAGTCACACCATTCTCACCCAACACAACAGGGAGACTCAGGAAAACATCCTTGTCAATATCTTGGTAACCCTAGGGTGAATTTAAAAGTCTCAAAAACACTTCATTATCATGAATACTATGCCTATATTCATAAACTCACAAAGAAAAATCAAACAGCTTAAATATATAAAGTATTTTACAATGTGATTATCAAAATGAAATTGCTGAGTTTAAGGGGGTCATTCGTTTCTTTTGGCCAGGCATTTTGAGAAATTAAGTACAGTGGACCCCCGCATAACGATTACCTCCGAATGTGACCAATTATGTAAGTGTATTTATGTAAGTGCGTTTGTACGTGTATGTTTGGGGGTCTGAAATGGACTAATCTACTTCACAATATTTCTTATGGGAACAAATTCGGTCAGTACTGGCACCTGAACATACTTCTGGAGTGAAAAAATATCGTTAACTGGGGGTCCACTGTATGTAGTTTTATAAAAATTGTGTACTCTCAGTAACAAGACATGTCATATTATAAATCATAAACAATGCACATAAGTTGATTGATAACCACATGTGCAACACTAGGGATCTTTATTATCAGCTATTTTGCCTTTGCTGCAAGCTTCATCAGTCTAATGTAAAGATAATTACCATTCCTGGAGACATCAGCATTGGTTGAGATGAAGTAAACGAAATGGAGAGGTAATATGATGTACGACAATGTATCGCCTTCCTGTGTACAAGCATCTGGCCAACTGCTTCTGAGACTGATCATATTGCACCTAGGTAATGGACTGATTACATCAAACTACCTCTCCATTTCGTACACAACCAACAATGATGTCTCCAGGAGAGTGATTTATCTCCATTCAACTGGTGAAGCCTAGAGTGCAGGTGAAACATTTTATCAATAAAGATCCCTAAACAACTGAAATAGATATATGCATAATTAAATTCTTATATGCTTTAAAAATAATTACAAATACTAATTATAAAGGCAAAAATCCTATAATTAGCCATAATGCAAGAATGAGTTATCCATCGATACATATGCAACTGCTGTATGTGTGTGTATTTGTGATGACAATTATTATTGACCTAGGGCTTATTTTGTTTTTCACAATAAGATACAATTTAAAAAAAATGTTTATTTTTTAATGACTGAATGATCCCCTTAATGGAATACCTAATTAATATACAAATAGTAATTTTTTTATTGATAGTATAGTAACTAGTCAACAAAAGTGGTCTAACACCGTAAGAGTTATATCATCTTTTAAATGATATAAATACAAGAAAGCAATACAAATTTCAACTGAAAAATTTCATAACAAAGATACATTTATTAGAAATTAAAACAAAAAAGGCTTGGAAAGTTAAAAGGACATAGGCACAGTCAAGAAGAAAATTTAAAAAAAATTCAAGTCATATACATAAAACAATATACAATCCAGGAAACCATCAACTTGCCCAAGACCTTGTATAAGAGCTTGTTTACTCTGCCCTGATTATTTTCAAAAGCAGTACTATTCAAGAGTGTTCATTCATCAATTTTCTGCATCTATCTCAGCTACTGTTAATCTGCTTATATTCTAAAAGGTTAATTTCACTATTTCCCCAATAAATTGATCTCTCCTGCCTTTTGCTATCACTTTCTCTTTCATCATTTTGTAATAACTCACATCTTGTTATTCTGGAATCCTGTAAATGCTGTGCATCTGATCACTTTTGTATTTTTATCCTTTCCTGTCAAAAATGATCACCACCAATCGCTTAGTGATCTCTTCTGGCAACAGCTCTCTTCTTGAAAAACTTATTTACTACATTCTTTTACTCACAACTAAACAAAAAAAATAAGATGAAAAAATAGATGTTCTAGTCCATCCTGGACTATTTATCAACTCCAAGATGTAAAAAAAAAAAAAAAATTAAATTTCATCTCTAACTTGTGTTTTTTTTTTAATTAATCCAGCTATGGTTTTGACTTATTTTGCAGTCTTTCATTGTCTCAGTTCTGTTTACACTGTACTGATTGCCAAGGACATTTTCTGTTTACACAGTTTTGATTGCCAAGGACATTAACACACATTCTTCCCTCTATTCTGTGGCATGCCCCTAGGTACTTTCCTGCACTAAGTTATGGTCATCCTTACCACTCTTCAGAATACAGCTTCTAGGTTAGGTTAGTTGTAAAGTACTTATCTACTGTATTTTTTTGAAGGTTTGTAAAAATGGTATGCTTAGAATTGCACATCTAAAAATAAAAAAGTACATTTCTTCATTCATACTGCTTTCGAATGTTAACCAGGTAGAGAAATTTAAAAAATCATACTCAAAAATTAAAATTTATAAAATTAAGAAAAAATTTAAAGCAAAAAACACACATTTTTCTGATTCTAAAAAAGTAGTGTATAGTATTAAAACCAGTAGAAAAAAATTTATTCAAATAACTCAAAGTAAAATGGCTTAAGTGAAGAAAAATAGAATAGTATTGTGGTAACCTATTTTGTATTCTGCTTTTCCAATAATTATTTTTCAGGAAATGAAATTATACATATTTTATATAATTTTTAAAGGTTCATGCTAAAGGGTTTGAAGGAAAAGGTATGGTATACATTTCTGAAACTTAGCCTTTTGTTGAAGAACATTTTAATGTTGTGGGTTGTCACTTAAGGTGACATGTGACTGGACAGCTTGCCTAATACATTCCAGTTTTATGTAATATTAATATCTCTAGACAAAGATCTATTCTCAACAGATAAATGAAATGATAGCCCTAAATAGTGAAACATGTTATGCACAATTACACTGGAAGCAATGACCTAATAATAAGCCTTACAAACTTCATTTTTATTGCTTAACTGTTTTTTGGTTTGAATGAAAAAGTATTCTTCATAGACTAGACAATTTTTTTTTTAAGAGATCGTTACATGAGAGAGAGAAGCAAGTCTGAATTTCTTTTATTTACCCCCTTACTCTTTGCAATTTATATAGAAATGTACAGTGTAGCTGTATTATGATGACAATATGGTACTGTACTAAAAAAAGCTTTGGAAACACTTATTCATGTCAACTTGCTGCAAGCAAAGTTAAATACAAGCCAGAAGGAGAAGCTTGACATTCTTCATTACCATACTGTGTATTGTACATCTGAAAATTATGCTACTGATAACAGAAAATAACGAATTTCACTAATGCTGTACTGTACATTCATTTCTACAATGGTCAGTGCCATTGTCTCTTCTTAGCAAAATATCTATGGGTAATAACAGCCAAAGGATACTATCAAATTGTGTTTTAAGTTATTGCAACTAGAATATACAGGAGATATTTTTCTTACTGTAGTTATTACAGTAAATTAAATTGAAAATTAATATCAGTAAATTAGATTTGTAATAATTTAGCTTAAAAAGAGGTTAGATTAATACAATAGTTTAGTTCTTACATCATTTTGACCAAGAGCAACATTATACTGTTGGGGAAAAGAAAAGGTAAAAAGATGAGGCAACCAGGAAAATTAATTGAAGTTGATTTGAAGACAATAAATGTACATAATATCCCTTTCCTTGCTTATGAATACAGCGCCTCAGGTAAATTAAAAGACCTTCATATAAAAGTATATTACATTTTTGCAGGTACTGTCTTCATAATAAAAGTTCTGGGATTTTAATGAAAAAGGCAGAGTAATGATAACATTCGGAGAGCAGCAGGGATATCCTATCATTCATGTAGAGCCTTTTTTGATACCTGCACAGCTGTGGTTACAGCATATATACTTCTTAGATTCGAAAGTAATGCCCTGCTAAGAACAGCACATGAAGTTCCGATGGCCCATGATGTGTAACCCTTCAGCCTGATCACTTCATAGGCACTGCAAATAGCAGCCAACAAACATATATGTACTGTACTCTGCATATATAAATAAGGAGTTTAAATTAAAGACAATTATTCTTACTAATCTAACTTATTTTGTACAAACCTACCTGAACAGCAACAGAGACCGCATGACAGGAGCGGATATTCTTCAAAATAGATGCTACAAGGGCAGAAACGGACAGACCAATAGCCCAAGAAGTGTAGCCCTTCAGCTTGATGATCTCATACGCACTGTAACACCACACTGTATACAATGCCAAGCACAAGTATATGCTAAATGCAACATCAAGTTTCAGTTTCCAACAGCAGAACTGTAAAATCTGGGTTTTTTCACATTCTTTAAATTAATTACTGTATTAAAAAAGTATATAATAATATATAATTATAGACAATTATTTGCTTTCTATTAATCTTTTATCAAGTACTGTAGCAACAGAAAAAAAAATCAATAGATCAAATCATATTTGTCAGAGCTGCTGTTTGAAAAAGAAGTTTAGCAAGGAAATATTTGTTCTAAAATAGGTCATGAAACAGCACTTGAACAAATGCAATTATTAGAGTACAGTGCTGTAATAAATACATAGAGAGGAGGGGCTATAGTTGATAAATTATGAAACAGAAGGTTGTAACACAATGCTGAAATAAGCCAGTAATATGTATATAAAGCAAGAGTGAAATTAATTATACACAGTATCATGAGGATTGTTAGGCCAATATTGTATATTAAAGAAAATGCATGGAAGGTTTGCATGAAAAGAAACAGGGTACAGCTACATTGCAAGCTCATTATATGTTCTAATTTGTTTACCAACTAGTGCATTAGCTCATATCTGTTCTGTATTATCAGATATTATCAAAATTGAACTGGAAAAGTTAAAAGGATGGACCTCCATTACAGTTATGTTATTAATGGAATAAAGGAGTGAATCAATTACAAGATCAGATTTGAAGATAGGACAATAAGGATGTAGAATGACAACGGTAAAATTAATAAGAGTGAAATACGTGGAGGTAAAAAAAAAAAAAATTAAAGAAAAAATGACAGAGTGCAATAAGAAGAATGATTGCTACATTAATGTTATAGATAAATCATTATGTGGAATGGTGGAAATGTTGCAAAACTATTTTAACACAACTGACAGTGTCTGTGAAGGTTTTACAAGAAATATAGTATGAGAGGAAGAAAGGGTAAGACATCCAAAGGAAGGTGAAAGACAATGTATAGGAGGTATTGAAAGGTAAAGGGCATGAACATCTAGCTTATGTGTGAACAGATTAGATTGGAGTGAATAGACATGAGAGGTCTTTCTGAGCAAGAGAATCCAGTATACTGAATCTGAAATTTCATTTCCAAATTTGGAGAATTCCAAATAAAAAATACAGTATAACTGTACTGCACTCCCTCAGCATACGAGAGTTCTGCATACACAAATTTATAAATCTGCAAGCTTTGCTTTGTCCTACTGCCCCATGTATGTGTTAAGCTCACAATCTACAATTTGAGTGTACAATATTATAGCTTCATATGCAAACTGGGTTCATAGTTCCATGTCTCATGTTATTATTATTATTATTTTTTATTATCACACTGGCCGATTCCCACCAAGGCAGGGTGGCCCGAAAAAGAAAAACTTTCACCATCATTCACTCCATCACTGTCTTGCCAGAAGGGTGCTTTACACTACAGTTTTTAAACTGCAACATTAACACCCCTCCTTCAGAGTGCAGGCACTGTACTTCCCATCTCCAGGACTCAAGTCCGGCCTGCCGGTTTCCCTGAACCCCTTCATAAATGTTACTTTGCTCACACTCCAACAGCACGTCAAGTATTAAAAACCATTTGTCTCCATTCACTCCTATCAAACACGCTCACGCATGCCTGCTGGAAGTCCAAGCCCCTCGCACACAAAACCTCCTTTACCCCCTCTCTCCAACCTTTCCTAGGCCGACCCCTACCCCGCCTTCCTTCCACTACAGACTGATACACTCTTGAAGTCATTCTGTTTCGCTCCATTCTCTCTACATGTCCGAACCACCTCAACAACCCTTCCTCAGCCCTCTGGACAACAGTTTTGGTAATCTCGCACCTCCTCCTAACTTCCAAACTATGAATTCTCTGCATTATATTCACACCACACATTGCCCTCAGACATGACATCTCCACTGCCTCCAGCCTTCTCCTCGCTGCAACATTCATCACCCATGCTTCACACCCATATAAGAGCGTTGGTAAAACTATACTCTCATACATTCCCCTCTTTGCCTCCAAGGACAAAGTTCTTTGTCTCCACAGACTCCTAAGTGCACCACTCACTCTTTTCCCCTCATCAATTCTATGATTCACCTCATCTTTCATAGACCCATCCGCTGACACGTCCACTCCCAAATATCTGAATACATTCACCTCCTCCATACTCTCTCCCTCCAATCTGATATTCAATCTTTCATCACCTAATCTTTTTGTTATCCTCATAACCTTACTCTTTCCTGTATTCACCTTTAATTTTCTTCTTTTTGCACACCCTACCAAATTCATCCACCAATCTCTGCAACTTCTCTTCAGAATCTCCCAAGAGCACAGTGTCATCAGCAAAGAGCAGCTGTGACAACTCCCACTTTGTGTGTGATTCTTTATCTTTTAACTCCACGCCTCTTGCCAAGACCCTCGCATTTACTTCTCTTACAACCCCATCTATAAATATATTAAACAACCACGGTGACATCACACATCCTTATCTAAGGCCTACTTTTACTGGGAAATAATTTCCCTCTTTCCTACATACTCTAACTTGAGCCTCACTATCCTCGTAAAAACTCTTCACTGCTTTCAGTAACCTACCTCCTACACCATACACTTGCAACATCTGCCACATTGCCCCCCTATCCACCCTGTCATACGCCTTTTCCATGTATAACATGGTATTATCTACAAATTTTGCTCCAAAATCTGAAGCTCTCATATAATACTATATCACCTTGCCTACAAATTATATTATGTTAGATGACCCATTTGTTTTTAAAATTATCCCAAAGTAGTGAAAATATTTAAGTAAAGCTATTAGTACAGGAGCCATGGGGAACCAGAATGCATTCACTTTCAGACATATACAAGAATTCACAATCAGTGAAATTTCTGCAGAATGCATCTCAACAATACTGAGGGAGTCCAGTACTCTGAAATTGGAAAAACAACTCCTTAGTAAAATAACTTAATTCTTAAGAACAAACCCCTTTACTGTTATAAAACCACATAACACAGATTCTGAAGCACATGCATGTTTAACTCTTTCTGTTAGTAGTATATGACATATCAAAATTAAATTTTTACATCTGAAGGAAGGAATCTGTATACAATATGTATGTTTTAATCTTGCAACTCTAAATAGTTTATGTACTGTAATGACAAAAATAAAAATATGACAATAATATTAATACTAATAGATAATGCATGAATTCTTAATCAATGCAATAATCATGATAATGTATACAGCACATCCAAATTCCTCAATTTTACTTTATATTACCCGAGCAAATGTATTAAATTTAAATACATGTATGGGGTGTGGTGTTAAGTTCGTCACAATTATGCACCCCTAACATGATACTACTACTACTGTATTTGTGTGAAGAGAAAGAGTTAATAAAGCGATGGTATACACTACAATAAATCTCATTCAGCACCAAGCTTAAACATGATCCTTACCTGTTCATTATCAAGATGTCAATTGCATAATTATTTCCACTCACGCTTCCAAACAAAGTCGAACGCTGTTATAACATAGTTAGTGGGAGCCAAGAGATAAAACCAGGCTAATGTCCAAAGTTAGCAGAATTGAATTCTTCACCCACATCTTTTATACAGCATTGCATTTAACCAACTGTAGTATAATACTGTATAATGACAATAGAGTACAGGATAATATGTAAAGGCACTTTTTTCCATGTCCAATATATTTGTCAAAGCTTGGGATGTTCTAGATCCCATTTGCTCTACTTGTTATATTTTCTTATGAATTTTAACACGAATCCCAACAGAGCTACATTTAAAGAAATAGCATTATTTCTCCATATTTTATAAACTGCAGTAAATAAGCACTAAAGAGATAAGGAGATAGTTGGCTACAGTGAATTATATCCTAGAAAAAGAGCCCAATGAAAATAAGGTATGTAACTTGCCTTTCCTGGGTTATCCTGGGTTAATGATGCAATACAAATCTTTGATGCTTCACTTATCATTCACTAAGGGCTCACTTCCAATTACAGAGCAAACTTGTTTGCAATGTTAGGAATAATATTGAAGAAGAAAACTGAGAGCCAAAGCTTGACTGAATTATTCCAAAAAATTCCATTAAAAAAATCCATGTTCTAACAGCGTACGAGTATGGTTACTGCACATCAAACTGCTACTGTCTACAACCTTAAATAACTTTAGTCATAGCTGTTAAAAATTAAGCTAAAACTGTATTTCAATTGGTTATTAATCTGTGCCTAATATGAAATGCACAAATATCTGCTGTATATGATTTTATATAAAGTATGCATATAAGCATATATAGTATTCTTTTTGCTTTTAAATACAAAAAATATAAGAATACTGATAAAAAAAAAAAAAAACAGGTAAATGGGCAGTTCACTCAACTCTCAAAATAATAATTAGGAAATTTTGATTATTAAGATACTTAGCCATATGTCTAAATTAATTTTATTACTCAAGTTTACTTAAAACCCCAAATTTTTATGATATACATTGTACTGTATTGTGAGTTATACATTTACATTTTGTAGCATCTTCTCAAATAACATATAGAGTGGCAGATATTCATTTTAGGCCAGTCTTGCAATGAAGCCATAATGAAATACTATACTGTATGAATTTTTACCTTTCTATACAATATAATTTTTGTTTCTTTATGCAGTACAAATAATGTAATTTACATGTAATAAAACATTGGAAAGCACAAAAGAAAGCAACTAGTATGCAATGCATTTTGAGCAACCCTCAGTTTTATTAGCATTTTTTTCTATTAGGATTCCATAGACTATGCATTATCTTCCTGACCCTCTCCATTTTTCCTGAAAAACACTTTGGGGTCAATTAGGAATTGGCAAAGCTACCACACTCAATACAGTTTACATCGTTTTACTGCAGTTAATGATATTTATTTCTTCTTAGCAAAGTAGTAAGATGAATAAAATTTTTTAAAAAAACTGTGCCATGAATAGTGGAACATTAAGGGCCACTTTAAACAACTACTGGGAAAAACTGTACAGTATATCATAACATTTGAGCCTACAGGACAGTACTAAATAACTGGAAACATGAGTACGTACAGCTTTTTAACCAAATTATTTATAACCAGTATCTTATAATCAACAATAAAAATATTCCACTGCAACTAAATGTTAAATATCTTTTAAAAGAAAAATAATGTATACTGTACCAAATGACAATATTGTACAGAAAACCCCAGAAGAGACTTTTATGCCATGTTGAAATTAAATTACACAGAACAGTACAATTCTATGTAATACTATACAGGTATGTATCTGTAGCAAGAATCTTATCTAACCACAATGGGATCAGAAGGCTAGATACTCTTAAGTTCTACTAAACATAAAAAATGTAATAAAATAAGTAAAACATATCGATCAATTAAGATAACGAGGTCAAATGCAGTCATAATAAAATTATTATTATAAAATATCCATGAAAAGGGCTAAACCTACTTACCACGGAGATTAAAGTTGCTCAGGTACTTGCATTTTTTCATCTCCAGTCATTCACCATCAATCATTCAATAGCCATCTTGTTAGAAGTGTGCAGACAACACAATTCAAATAATCCTCCAAACTGCAATATCCTTACCCCTCTGTGTCAGATTCAGGCACTGTACTTTTCACCTAGACTTTCTTTACATACTTCTCGCCTAGGCTTTCTTTACATATTTTATTAATGTTTCCTTGCTCACACTCCAACAATATCTCAAATCCCCAAAAACACCTGTCCCCACCCACTGTTTTAACATGCTGCTCACATAAACCTGTTAGATAAACCAGCCCCTACCACTTAAAACCTCCTTCAGCACTTTGCTTCAAGTTTTAATGGGAATATCCCTAACCCTTCTTCCTTCCTTCCACCCCAGATTTATACACCCTCTATCATCTTATTTTGTTCCATCCTTGCTAAATGGCTAAACCACCTCAATAAGCCCTTTTATATTCTTGGAATTATAACTCTTGTAACCTCACACTACCTTCTACTGATTGTTTGCATAATATTCACACTACACATTGCTCTCAAATATGACACCCCTGTCACCTCTATCCCTCTCTTCGCTGAAGCATTTAAAGACCATGCCTCACAATCATACATATTAGTACCTGTTATATGTCTTTGTAATCTCTTCAGTACTGCCCCCATGATGTGAATGAGATACTGTAAATACAACGATCAAACAATGTATCATCCATCCTGTAACCAAACGTTTCCCTTAGTATTGCAATGACAATGGTGAACAGTTGCCACTGTCAACTTGTAGGCTTTTACAACACTACAAAGATTATACCTAGCATATTAACCAAATGGGACATATGAAGAAAAAGTTGTTAGCTAGATAAGACCTTCACTGTGTAATTTTTCAAAAAATTTGAAAGGGTTTTTCACTGTACAATATTTCATAATTAAAAACTATTCCCATGTGAAAAAAATGATTAGGCAAACAAGTGCTGAAAAATCTTATGTGCACAATTAATAATACAAATACAGTATAATGATTTTAAATTAATGCACAGTAACTGAAAATATTTATCCTAGAGTATATATATTAATGAAGTTGATGGCTACTGAAGTCTTCAATTATCTGTTTATATACAGGTTTTATTTTTTAATGTAAAGCACTATAACATCAACTTCACTACAATATTCACAGTCATTCACAAGTATATGAATGTATGTGTGTACACGTGTATGTGTGCAATCTCCATGGAGAAGTGGAGAAGAAAGAATCCTTCCGCCATAAGCCATGCATGTCTTAAGAGGCAGCTAAAATGCTGGGAGCAAAGGGCTAGTAGTGCCTTCTGTATAAATTACTAAATGTAAAAAGAAGGAAAAACTTTCATTTCTTCTTCACTCACTCTGTCAGTGTCTTCCCAGAGGCGTGCCTACACTAAAATTTAAAAAACTGCAACATCAATACCCCTCCTTCAGAGTGCAGGCACTGTACTTCCCACCTCCAGAGTTCAAATCCAGCTACACAGTTTCCCTGAATCCCTCCATAAATGTTACCCTGCTCACATTCCAACAGTACATCAAGTCATAAAAACCATTTGCCTTCACTCGCTCCTATCTAACACATACGTATATAATTATTGTTATTGTTATTAATAAAAGCAAAGTCCAAAAAGTCTAGTACGAAAACAAATACCTGTTAACAACATCATTGTGCATTTCGTTATATTTGTCTGGATCCTCTGGGGTTCCTACAAGTGGGTTAAGATCACGTAGCCGCACTCCTGCAACATTGACACCTGACCATACTGGAACTGTAATAGAGAATATTTTATGTTAGACAATAATCAACCTACTCAAAGCATTTGTAATTTTCCAAAGTTCAGAAAAAAAAAATTATTTTTAGGGTAATACGGTATGTGAGCTCAATCGATAACGAAGCTTCTTCAAGATCCTCTAAGGAAGAATGTTCTCTTTATAAAAGCACTTTCTTTAGCTCATTACAGGCTTAGCACTGCACTGCAGTGCAGTAGTAAGTGCCACGATTCTCACCACCGGTTCCTGGTGTAGAGAGACGCACAAACTAATGAAAAAAATATCGAAACTGTAGGTCAGTGGTGAGAGGCGCGACTCTCACCACTGGTGTCCGGGGTACGAGAACCGGACAAACTTCTTAAAAAAAAAAAACTGTAGCACAGTAGTAAGTGCCACGCTTCTCACCACCAGTGTCTGGTGTAGAGACACACACGAACTACTAAAAAACAAAAACAAAAAAAATCGAAACTGTAGGCCGGTGGTGAGAGGTGGGACTCTCACCACTGGTGTCCGGGGTACGAGAACTGGACAAACTACTTAAAAAATAAATATCCAAACTGTACGCCAGTGATGAGAGTCGTGCCTCTCACCACTGGTATCCGGGGTACTTTACAAACTACTAAAAAAAAGTTTTTGAAAAAAAAAAAAAAAAATATAAGCATTACAAATCTTCCTTATGAAGAAAGATTGAAGACTCTTAAATTACATTCACTTGTTAGACGAAGAATGAGGGGAGACATGACAGAAGTGTATAAGTGGAAGATGGGTATTAATAAAGGGGATATTAATAAGGTCTTGAGGATATCTTTCCAAGAGAGAACCCGCAGTAATGGATTTAAATTAGACAAGTTTAGATTTAAAACGGACATAGGAAAGTATTGGTTTGGAAATAGGGTAGTTGATGAATGGAACAGTTTACCTAGTTGGGTTATTGAGGCTAGGACTTTGGGTAGTTTCAAATTTAGGTTGGATAAATATATGAGTGAGAGGGGTTGGATTTAAGTGGGACTTGCAAATGAATGGATCGAATTACCAGACCTTATTTCTTGGGTAGCATTGAAAATTGGGTTGGGCAAATGTTTTGTTAGTGGGATGGATTGTAAAGGACCTGCCTAGTATGGGCCAACAGGCTTGCTGCAGTGTTCCTCCTTTCTTATGTTCTTAACTCTTTCAGGGTCGGCAGGCCCTCTCCTAAACTTGTTCTCAGGGATGGAAATTTTTCAAAAAAAAAAAAAAAAAAAAAAAAAAAAAAAAAAAAAAAAAAAAAAAAAAAATTATTTTTTCTTATCAAATGATAAGAGAATCTTTTCCCGATCATAATGACACCAAAAGTATGAAATTTAATGGAAAACTTACAGAATTATGCTCTTGCAAAGTTAGCGGTCTCAACGATGTTTACGCATCGGCGATTTCGCCCATTTTGAGCCCTAATTTCAGCCAATTCCAATGTACCAGTCGAGAAAAATCATACCTATCTCGCTAGAACTCCATTTTTTTCTATCGAATGAGCACAAGAAACCACCCATTTACCGATTTCAACTATCCAATAAAGTGGTCAGAAATTGGCAATTTTGCCAATTTCACAAATTTCAAAAGATGCCAATTTCCAAATAGGGTCCAGAATAAACAAGACAGACATTCCTGGCACTAAAATAACATTTCCTCTGTTCATTACTCACGTCCCCAGGCCTCTGTTACATTTCTTATGCTTTCCACTTTGAATTTTTCTCACAAAAAATAGAAGATTTATGTTATGCAGACTACTGCATTAGTGTAGAAATGGTATAAATAATATCAGCACACTTGTGAAAGAATATTAGACTCACCAGTTGACATGCATTGGACGTATGGCATGATTTGTTTACCTTTGAACTTTGGCAAAAATCGAACATTTCTGCTACTCTAAGCTCAATTTCAAGATACTTTTCATTGTGAAACCAATCAAAATCATCTCAATTTCCGTAATATGTCTTCCATTCTATAAAATGAGACGAGGAAAACTTGAATACAACCATAAATAGCATATGAAAACACACTGCAAAGTCGCTGTTTTAAACCAAAAACACGGTTGAGTTTTTTTTCCTCATTATGCACTGGGTGCTGCAGGATTTTTTTATACTGCACACACTGACCACATAGACCCATTCTTTCATATGTAGGCCTACCAGCTTTCTCTCTCTAGATTAGAAGGCACTAGAATTTATGCATACTAGTACGGCACCAACCCTGGTGTGCAAGCCATACTAGTACGGCACCAACCCTGGTGTGCAAGCCGTACTAGTACGGCACCAACCCTGAAAGGGTTAAAACACTTGTGAAAAAAGCTATTAACAGACAGAGGTTTCAACCTCTATTTTTTTGCTGAATGACCCACATGAGTTTAGTACTTCACATAAATATAAAATGATGTTACAGTATTTTATAATCATAATCATATCAATAAAGTTTGAGAAGTATAACAATAGATATCTCATATTTCAGTCATTTTTTCAAATCTTTACAGTACAAGGCAGTATCCAGTTTTTCAATATAATTTTCCTGGGCAGCTACCACAAGTTGAATGTGCAAGAAGTGCAATATTACCTGAAGAATCTCCATGCTCTCCAATAATCCAGCCATGACAAGAAGACGGAGCAACATTGAGTTTCTGCGACAGATGAAAGCGGAATCTTGAAGAGTCAAGGTTGGTTCCAGAGCCAATCACTCTGTTCTTTGGAAGTCCAGACAATTTCCAAGCAACATATGTGAGAATATCCACTGAAATACAAAAGTATACTTGAGTATGTAGTTTTAGGTAGAATTAAATCAAGCTGTATATTTAGGCTCATGCTGTATATAATGTTGTACAAGGGAAACATTTCAGGAATACTGTACAGCCTCTCCTCACTTAGCAACATACTCATTTACTGACACGTCTGACTCTCTGACCAGTATTCATATCTAAATAATGTATATTAGAGCTGATTTCATCTATTCTGTTTATTTCCAAAGACCACGTCGTTTAACGATGTGGTCTTTGGAACAGAATCCCGTCGTTAAGTGAGGAGAGGCTGTATTTCACGGTAAAGTAAATAATTAATAAATTTGTTGTTTAGTTCTTTAGTATGCTGTATAACTTGCTAAGTAATTACAGTACATAAGAAATATACCCAGTATAATTCAACAATAATTACCTATTAAAAATGGTACATACAACTGGGCCCCAATTTACAATGTTCTGAGTTTCAATATTCTATGTACACGACACTGACATTTTGGAACAATTAACTACTGTACTCACAAATGACACTCACTTCCAACAGTGAAAAGTAGTTAAGAAACCTAAAATATGAAGCATCCCTTCTAGTGAGCAAGACAGGATTAACATTTAAGATAAATACTGTTCACAACAGTTAAATATTTAGTATTTATTAACCCGTAAATGGTCCAAGCAGATCTACGTTCACATGTGTAGTGCTACAAAAGTAGATCTACGTTTTTTTTACATATTTTCAAATATAACAAAAAAAAAAGTAGATCAAATTTTTTTTACACATTTTCAAATGTAAGAAAACAAAAAGAAGATCTACTTTTTTTACATACTTTCAAATGTTGAAAAAACGTATATACACGTTTGGACCATTTACGGGTTAATTAATTAATATGGATTATTATTATTATAATCAAGGGGGAAGCGCTAAACCCGGAGGATTATACAGCGCCTGGGGGGGGGATGTGGAAGGCATTCAGGCTTAATTCGGGGAACTGGAGCACAGATCCAATTCCCTAAATCAAGAGCCCCTCACCAACATCAAGGAACCTTCCTTGAGGGGAATTAATATGGATACAGTATAATGTAGAAATATTTTGTTGTATATTGAGAACAAAACACTGGGTAAAAATTCTACACTTAAAACATTAACGAGTTCCCAAAATTCATTTTAATTTGAGGATCTACTGTATTCTTTATATTATTATTATTATTATAATCAAAAAGAAGCGCTAAGCCACAAGACTATACAGCGCTGCAGGGCGTGTATTCTTTATAGAAACTGTATTGGATACACAGGTAACATTTCAGGAGAGCCTAGACATCAGCGGATTTTTACTGGCTAGACATACCAGGATTAGAAACAACAAGAAGAATGCAGTTTGGAGAATATTTAACAAGGTTAGGAATAATGCCCTTGAAGATGTCCACATTGCGCTGCACAAGAGAAAGACGTGACTCTCCTTCCCTCTGTCGAGCTCCAGCTGTTACAATACACAAGCGAGAACCAGCACTCACAGAATAATCTGTGTTGGCTTCAATTTTTACGTTTCTGAAAGCAAAAGAGATGCAGTTTCAGTTCTCAATGCATGCAAATCATAGACAATTACTGTAGGTAAGAAATCTGTATTTTTGCTCTAACAATTACAAATTAGTCATTATATTGTACAGCACATACAAGAAAGATTTTATGACTGACTTAAAACCTTAAATATCCTTACAATTATCATAACCTAGAATTATTATACCCTTAATTTTCAAAAAGAAAAACAAGTCTTTCTTTTTACATTAGGAATTATAACTTTAAATATCCCAAAAATATTAAAAGCTGACAAATAAGATTTTGTTATAAATAATGAAAATATAAAATTTGCCAAGTATATCAAGAATACTATTTATACCGAATACTAGACAATACAAAATATGCCAGGTATACAATACTGTATACCAAATATGCCAAACGTGCAAAGTAAAGGCATACCAAATAGTATGCCAAGCATGCAAAGTACAACTATACCAAAAATACCAAGTACATACCTAAGGAATGTTAAACCATGCTGAAGATCCATCATCTCTCCTCGCAACTTGTCTGCAGCAACATCAACTAGAGCCAGTTCAGAACAGATGTGCTGTGTAACAAGAGAGAAGGCACAAGCCATTCCCACCTGTCCCACACCAACTACCGTCACCTTGCCACCAGATGTAGTCAAGGCAGGCTGCACCTCATCCATCAACAGTTGAGGAATAGATGCCATCTTGATCGCTGCTGAAAGAAAATGAATGTGTACAAGTCACTGCCACAATTATGACTATCACAGCCAGGTAAAAATTAAGGAACATGGGGACAAACATACAATCTGTGGCAAGGCTAAAAGAAAGCACTAGCCGTCCACATTATTATTACTGTTTCAAGCCTAGTGAGGCTCAGTCCCTGGACCCATTATGTACCTCTGTAATCTTTTGGCTACCACCCACAGAAAGGGTATGAGGTGAATAATAAAGATATTAAACTAACTAAACTGTTTCAAGCCTGTCGACTATATGTAGGTGATTAATGTTGGTTACAAAAGGACAATGGAAATAAGTCAATTTGTCTGCCTTTTTTGGGATTATCCTTGGTAATTTATACATTACTATGCATGATAATTTTGTAACTATTTATGAGTACCTGTACCTAAATAAACTTACTACCCTTCAGGTACAGGTACACATAAATAATGTTACATAAATTATCATACATAGCATATGTATAGATTATCTAGGATAACCGAAAAAAAACTTGGACTATACTGGAGTATGCAGCACCAGTTTGGAATCCACACCTAGCCATGCAGGTAAGGAAACTGAAGAAATTGGAAAGGTTTGCAACAAGACTAGTCCCGGAGCTATGGGGTATGTCCTACCAGGAGAGGTTAAGGGATGACACTGGAGGACAGGAGAGAGGGGATATGATAACGACATATAAATGCTGAGAGGAATCGACAAGGTGGACAGAAACATAATGTTCCAGAGATGGGACACAACAACAAGGGAACACAGTTGGAAGTTGAAGACTCAGATGAAACACAGGGATGTTAGGAAGTATTTCTTCAGTCACAGAGTTGTCAGGAAGTGGAACAGTCTTAGAAGTGATGTAGTGGAGGCAGGATCCATACATAGCTTTAAGAAGAGGTATGACAAAGCTCATGGAGCGGCCAGTGAAGAGGCGGGGACAGGAGCTGTGAATCGACCCCTGCAACCACAACTAGGTGAGTACACACCTCTGAACGTGCATACATTGAGATACATATACCGGTATGTATATACCCTGTAGTTCAGCGAGATGACGCTTGTAGGCAGATAAATTGGCTCAGCAACTGCCGGGGTTGGCAGGCTCTGAGCTCTGGTGTGCCAGAATAATTGCTAAGATTGGCAGAGAGCAGATGAGTTGGACACTATACCAAAGTGCACATGCTGTTTGGTCCTCATAACGATAATTATATGACTAAAACCTGCGTCAGGAGGATGGGGGGAGATGATTTGATGCTGGTGAAGGGCTGTATCCACTTTGTGTCTGAGTAACTAATGAATGAATTATTATTATAATCAAGGGGGAAGCGCTAAACCCGGAGGATTATACAGCGCCTGGGGGGGGGGGGGATGTGGAAGGCATTCAGGCTTAATTCGGGGAACTGGAGCACAGATCCAATTCCCTAAATCAAGAGCCCCTCACCAACATCAAGGAACCTTCCTTGAGGGGACTAATGAATGAAATGTTCTTGTAAGATAAGATTTCGTTCGGATTTTTAACCCCGGAGGGTTAGCCACCCAGGATAACCCAAGAAAGTCAGTGCGTCATCGAGGACTGTCTAACTTATTTCCATTGGGGTCCTTAATCTTGTCCCCCAGGATGCGACCCACACCAGTCGACTAACACCCAGGTACCTATTTGCTGCTAGGTGAACAGGACAACAGGTGTAAGGAAACGTGTCGAAATGTTTCCACCCGCCGGGAATCGAACCCGGGCCCTCCGTGTGTGAAGCGGGAGCTTTAGCCACCAGGCCACCGGGCCAATAATGAATATTTTACCGGTAATAAGGCAATTATTTTCTTTTAGTTTATATCTTCATAGTCTGTTGTGTCCAAAGGCTTTAAAAAGAAATTTTCAATATATGAAATGACTAATATAATTTTTGTGAAGTAACTATACAATACAATACTTTATTTGGACATGATATATAGGTGTACAAGGAATTATAGTTGGGTGTTCATGCCAAAAGCCCCATGTATGCATTATTATTATTATAATCAAGGGGAAGCGCTAAACCCGTAGGATTATACAGCCCACATGTATGCAGAGCATTATGGGCAGGCTTAAAATTAACTTAAGATTAACTAAGCAATGATATATTCAGTGGTAAAAATTACAGTAATCAAAATATAACATGAAGTACAAATGAGTATTTTAAACAATGAAATTTGAACATTTCAGTTAAGAGGCATTATAGTTGCACAAATTTGTAGCATAACAATGTATAATATAACAAAATGATCAATATACTATTTGAAGTGCAGAAACAGGTCATATGGTCATTAAGTTACTGCGCATTCAAGAGAATGGATCATTCTATTAGGTAGTGTAATTAAAAAAAAAAAAAAGTTTGATACGGTCACAGGTTACACTTTTATGAAATACAGTTATTCAATATTTATTTAGTTGTGGGTGAGTAAGTGGTTTTTAAGAAGTCTTGAATTGAAAAACAGTATTTCTTTTACATTTACAGGTAATGAATTCCAGATTTTTGGGCCTTTTATGTGCACTGAGTGTTTACAAAGTGTGAGATGGACACGGGGAACATCAAAGAGTGATCTGTGCCTTGTGTTATAGTCATGTGTTCTGTTGAGGTTGGTAAGGAGAAGTTTGAGGGGAGGGTTTATATCTGAGTTTATTGTTCTATGTATGTAGTAGGCACAATTATAAGTATGGATGTTTTGTACTGTAAGCTTAGACTTTTGAATATTGGTGGAGTATGCTGCCTGGGGTGGGAATTTATCATTCTGACTGCAGCCTTTTGTTGGGTAATTAATGGTCTGAGATTTATTGTTGTTGAGCCCCATGCACAGATTCCATAGGTGAGATAAGGGTAAATGAATGAGTGATATAGGGCCAGGAGAGCTGATTGTGGAACACAGTACCGTATCTTCGATAGTATGCCTACGGTCTTAGAGATTTTCTTGGAAATTTGTTGTACATGTGCTTGAAATTTGAGTCTGTTATCAAGGTGAATTCCTGAGAATTCTCCCTCTGTGAGTTTTGTGATAGGTGATCCGTTTATCATTATGTTAAGAGGAACATCTGTAGTTCTGTTCCCAAACTGAATGAAGTAGGTTTTGTCAATATTGAGAGTAAGTTTGTTAATCATCATCCAGGTAGATATTTTCTGTAATTCGGTATTTACAGTATTATCTAGTATGACTGGGCTTGGGTGAGAGAAGACATATGTAGTGTCATCTGCAAATAGTGTGGGTCTGAGTAGTTGCGATGCATTTGGTAGGTTATGTAAATGAGAAAGAGAAGAGGGCCAAGGACACTTCCCTGTGAGACACCAACTCTAATTGGTTGTGTGGAAGAGTTTGCTCCATTTGTGTACACATATTGGCTTCTGTTGTTGAGGTATGACTTTAGGTAGTTGACGGAGTGCCCTCTTATACCATAGTGTGATAATTTTATGTGCAACAAAATCATGTCAAAAGCTTTACGTAAATCAATGAAGATCCCCAATGGGACTTCTTTTTTCTTGAGTGCAGTGTTTATTTGTTTTAGCATGTGTATATCATCATTCATATTTTTATTAGGCCTGAACCCAAACTGACAGGGGTTGAGTATGTTGTGGGAGATGAGGTAGGAATAAATTCGCTTATGAATTAGTTTTTCAAAGATTTTAGAGAGAAGGGGTAAGTTGGATATTGGCCTATAGTTATTCAAGTCTGCTTGATCTCCACCTTTATGTATCGGGGTGACGGGTCGAGTCTGATAAAGACCCAGTATGACCTCTGTAATCTTGATATATTTTAGGGTGGGGGAGAGAGGGTTATTTTGTGCTGCTGCTGACAGATGAACATGAGGTGCACAATAAGCTAGCCACTCAGGCGGCACAACTAAACTCAATGGTTAAGGACCTGTGGTCCAAAGGAATTGGCACCACCCTCCACCTCCACTTTCTTGTTTTATTAATCCTTTTAGTCTCCCATTCTCAAGGCGCAGTGACCCCTTGGGGTCACTGCACTCCCATGACTATTATAATATTTTAAACTTGAAACAGTCTACGAAGCTCTTGAGTTAGTAATAAATATATACACTTTAGTGTATATATTACGTATGTACGTCGGTTTACGCGCGGCCAACAGTAACAGCCTAGTTGGTCAGGCCTTGTTCCACCATGAGGCCTGGTCACAGACCGAGCCGCGGGGGCGTTGATCCCGAAACCCTTTCCAGGTTATATATATATATATATATATATATATATATATATATATATATATATATATATATATATATATATATATATAAATATATATATATATAATATATAATATATATATAATATATAATATATATATATATAATATATAATAATATATATATATATATATATATATATATATATATATATATATAATATATATATAATATATATATAATATATATTCATGTTCTCCTGCTTGGCAACATATAGCCTTAACTTGATGTCTCGGTCGCTGCGCGATCTGAAACAGGTGCCTCGATACACAAGGTTCTACAAGAGGACTAGCAGTTGTACCCTCCTCATGAGGCTCTAGAGGATCTGCAGCTTAACTCCCTTGAGAGACCTAGGATCTATAGTTCAACCCCTACAAGAGGCCCAGGAGCCGGAGAGCACCACTTCAAGGGGCCCAGCTTTTACCTCAACACACTCGAAGCCCAGGAGCTGCCGGTCAACACCCTTAAGAGGGCCAGTTATCTCTGCTAGTGTATTGGTCAGAAACACTCCTAAATCGGGTCTTTTTCAAACTATGACCTGCCATTGGCTCCGATAGGAGTGTAGGAGTGCTGTTTTAAAGCCCTATGGCGGGGGGCAACCCTATGACCAGGCCCAGTGCATCTTCCGATCATTTCCCAGCCAGAGTAGAAACATTGGGCGTGTTTCTTTCCACCTGTTGTCTATGTTCCCCATCAGTAAAATGGGTACCTGGGTGTTAGTCGACTGGTGTGGGTCGCATCCTGGGACACTGACCCAATTTGCCCGACATGCGGAGCATAAGAAGGGCCTTTCTATATAGTAGTATGTCATTGTTGTCAGCTAGGCCTGTATACCATCATGTACTTGTAGTAAATAGATATTATTATTATTATTATTATTTTATACGCGTGTATCTGTATATACTTAGAGAAGTATATATCTTAATGTATATATAGTTTATTTGAATCCTATTTCAGAGCTTCAAGTATTTGCTGTCACTGTACATAATGAATCGATTTAATAACCCCACTTGCATAGGTTATAGGATCGCTAAATACACTTGCACAGGTTATCCAGGGTTATTTACTTCTGTGCTAGTGATAAACAAGATACATTCAAAAGTGAACAGATTGGCGAGACTACTTAAAGGTGAACTCCGAAGCGGGTGGAGAGACAGTATAAATAGCCTAGTTGCATTCCCTCCGCTCGACTCCGGCCTCGTCCTCTACGGATGACATTGCTAGGGGTGACCTAGGACAATGTTCTTTATAGGTAACCTAGGACAATATCTTGACTCACGAAATCGTAATAACACGACTGCAAACAAACCACGGAGCGGTGGAATTTGAACCCATGGCGAGTGAGCTGTGGCTTACGCAGTTACATGGCGTTTTACGATTCACTCGTCATGGGTTCAACCCCACCCGGTCCGTGGTTAGGACACTATCCCATACGGATGACATTGCTATCTGGAGTTTATCTGGAGAGAGTTCCGGGGTCAACGCCCCCGCGGCCCGGTCTGTGACCAGGCCTCCTTAGGTCAGTGTCCCAGGATGCGACCCACACCAGTCGACTAACACCAGTCGACTAACACGTACCCATTTTACTGATGGGGAACATAGACAACAGGTGGAAAGAAACACGTCCAATGTTTCTACTCTGGCTGGGAATCGAACCCAGGCCCTCACCGTGTGAAGCGAGAGCATTAACCACCAGGCCACCAGAGCCTGACTGAGAGGGTGACTTAGAGCAATGTCCTCAACGGGTGACATTCCTAGGGGTGGCCCAGGGCAATGTGCCACTGCTAGGGGTGACTCGATCCAGAGCGATGATTAGTGCTTTGTCAAGAAAAATGTGAAAAAAAAAAATGGAGAACTATGTTGGAGACTTGGGTCATTAGGCAGAATCCTTTTAGAAACTGGCTTACCGGTCTACCCTGTGATATATCTATTTCTACAAGTACATGTACAACGTATACAGGTCTAGTAACTACTATATAGAGAGCCCCTTGTTATGCAGAGCATTTCGGGCAAATTAAGTCAATTTTGTCCCTGGATGCGACCCACACCAGTCGACTAACATCCAGGTGCCCATTTTATCGATGGGTGAACAGGGACAGCAGGTGTAAGGAAACACACTCAATGTTTCCACCTTTGCCGGGAATCGAACCATGGACCCTCAGCGTGTGAAACGAGACCTTTGCCTACCAGCCACGAGCCACTGTAAGATTTATGATAGGAGACTCCATGCTGGTGCTGCAGACTCGACGAACTGTACACTAGGGAAAGAGTATTTTAAAGAATTCTTTATGAGGTTCGAACCGTGGTCCCGAGATTATCAGGTCCAACGCTTTACCGCTTTCACAAAAGGCACTGCTGTGCCCTGTGCGTCAGTGGCTACTATCTGTAACCCTAATGTCCTTTTTCATATTACATACATGCCAAAAATTTTGGGTGAGAAGAAAAATATAAAGGTATATTAAAAAATGATTCGAGTTTTATTCTATCCACTAAAGCTACCGGTGCTCGGTAATTCAAGAAGCTTGAAGTAAATAAACACACATTCAAATGCAGCTTGAATTAAATACATGACAAATGCCATCTCAGCAGTGCAGTTCACAACTCAGCATGTTAATTACCACTTTGGTGCAGGTGGTAACTCAGGTAGGCCCTGGAGACAAGCTCATGATATGAATGAACAAGTATGATATTGTTGTTCTTATGACCAGAGCTTTGGCAAGATGGAAGTATGATAATGCCATGGCTATGTTTGTAAATATAGAATTGCTCGGTTTTTAATGGGGTGGACGAGTAAGCCAATGGAAGGCCTCAGATGAGCAAAAGTTTCAGTGGCTGGTCATCATATGACTAAAACATGCGTCAGGAAACACCTCTCACGTTTCCAGATAAAATTTAACCTAGCAACATCCCCCCAATGAAAAGCAGAGGTGTCACTAGCACGTTAAGAGACCATACAATAAGTGTCAGGGGCCCGAGACTGTTCAACTGCCTCCCAGCATACATAAGGGGGATTACCAACAGACCCCTGGCAGTCTTCAAGCTGGCACTGGACAAGCACCTAAAGTCGGTTCCTGACCAGCCGGGCTGTGGCTCGTACGTTGGTTTGCGTGCAGCCAGCAGTAACAGCCTGGTTAATCAGGCTCTGATCCACCAGGAGGCCTGGTCACAGACCGGGCCGCGGGGGCGTTGACCCCCGGAACTCTCTCCAGGTAAACTCCAGGTAGCCTATGTATGTAAATAAGACATGCGGATAATGAAAAAAAGTTTTGTTAATGATTTGCATGACCCGCATACTGCGTACCATTCACATACACGAGCATGCCTTCGAAATGTTCCGAAGGACGTTCAACAAAACATCTTCGTTATTACGCGTCTTCCTTCACTTGTCAGCTACGCCATACTTCACCACACTTGCCGAACTCGGGTAATGTATCACCACCGAAATCGACCAGTCACAAGTAACCGCAAATTTTGGGGTCAAAGATTGAGCAATGGGCATGACCTACTTCTACTAGTCGGCCCTGCCCACATATGAACACTTCTACACTTGCTGCATCACTCCACCTCTTCCATGGTTCCAATTTAAAAAAGCATGTCTATACATATTTGACTAGAAAACTCATGGCGTACGAAATGCCTCAAAGATACCTAGCTGTTGCACATGTGCCTCATTCATCACTACCAGTTATAAAAATTGGGAAGTGGTAAACCAGTATGGATCATATCGCTTGGGAGTAGGAGGTAGTCAGGTTTGACCTAAGGAAGGGAAGATCAGCTCCAAATCCTTGAATCAAAGGTATATACTACCAGTCACGGAAATTTTAATCCTTAAAATATTTAATCCTTAAAATAAATATTTCCTGAGGAACCTTACCTAACCTTTAACCATGTAAAATGTGACAAATAAGGATAGCCTCACAATGTAGTAACAGCTAAATTCGATAAAATAAAAAAATCATTCATGTTTCTGGGTCAGTTTCAGTTCATTACTCCCATAATATAAAGCTGGATGATACTCTTACCTTCGTATACTTAAAAAAAAAATACTTCTCTTTCAATCAAATATTGCCAAGCTGGGTAGCATGAGATCCTAAGACGACGTATAAACCTTGATAACTTATACCCACGAATATTATTATAATCAAGGGGAAGCGCTAAACCCGTAGGATTATACAGCGCCTGTGGGGGGAGATGTGGAAGGTATTCAGGCTCAATTCAGGGAACCGGAGCAAAGATCCAATTCCTTAGATGTAGAGCCCCTCACCAGCGTCAAGGAACCTTCCTTGAGGAGATACCCACGAGTACATGAACATAGACTAGGATATATTTATTCCAAAACGTTTTGGTGCTGTGACTAGCTCTTCCCATTGCCATGTCCTAGTGTTTGTTCACTTTTTCAACTAGCTTTAAACGACCCCGATGGATATATATCACACTGTGCCTTTGTCGGGCTACCCTGGATTAAAACATGTAAAAAAAAAAAGTTTATTTTTGTCTTTAAAAGAGAACCTTCATCCTCTCTCAGCAATGTTACATTTCTCCCATGTTGAGGATATTTCCACATAATTTCGTTTTATCAAATTAATGGTGAAATGAAGTTCCGGGTAATTTAGCCAGGATATTTTAACAATACGAACGAGATGTACATTTACCTCATCACACACTGCAATAGCCACCCTTCAGATCTTACCTCTGTCAGGTAGGTTGTCTTTTGTCTGGTATTCAAGTACGTTTATCTTGTAGAATCCTCCAGGTGTAAGCGTGTAATCTCGTCAGTGTCCACCGGGCTCCTAAACTAGGACAAGGTGCTCCACTGCAGGAATCCTGGACTTTAGCCCGCCCATCAAGAGGTGCGGAAACGCTAGAAGATAAAGCTTGGCTGTGATGGAGACGTCGACGGTTGCGATCGCTCACAGACAGTAAACGCAGTAGGTTCTTAACCATCGAATATCAGCACTTACAAAGACACAAGAGTAGGTCTATATCGATCCCTCCCACCACACAACTATCACAACTTTATGGAAGTCTCTTTTCTCTCTCTATTCCGGTGTAGTCAAATAGCAACTGAAAAAATAATAATATACAACCTCAGTATTACATCAAAATATTTCAAGTCAGTTGCATAATCTTTTGTTTATCACGTGTTGCGTCTACAAGATGTTAAAATTAGATCCCACGTCATACTGTATGCTATGTACTCGTTATTGCTTTAATACACCTTATAAAAAGATGATTACTCCGCATGACAACAACGAAAACCAAAAGCAGAGATGATCTATGGCATGATCTCCGCGCGCGAGTAATGACAAAAACCGGCTGCAACAAAGGGAAAGGTTGGACTGTGTCAGAGGTTCTCCTTCATACCTCCGTCCGCTATGGCTGCACGGGAATACTGAGCCAAAAATGTCCCGACGAGCAGTCTAGAGGAAGTCTACAGGCATCATCTGTCGACGTTGCGTCATGCACGTAAGTTACGTGACGATGTACACGTTCGTAGCTCTATCTCCATTATGAAGTTGATGATAATACATTGTCAACTTCAGAATTACAAGAGGAACTGTCATGCGATGTTACTGCAGCATTTCTAGTTGATATCACATAGTGTTCCTTTAAAGTTCACTTCGTTCCGATTTAGTAACGTCACAGCGAAATTCTGGCATTTTATATCTTAAGTAAACCCTGAATAATGGGCCTACACGAGTTTGTCAGAAAATTATTTTTCAATGGTGCCGGCACAATGGCGGAGGGTGACGCTAGTTAATTTAAAATCTTTGTTATGCACCACATACCCATCCTGTGTGTAGTAGTCAAAAGATTACAAAAGCACATAATGGATGCAGGGCAAGCGGGCAGTCTTATTTTTTATTCTTGTTTTTGCATTATCTTTGCTCACCAAAGGTTTATATGTCCAGGTACGACTACCTCACAAAATGGGGTCAGTGGTGATGCAATTGGAAAAACGCCTTATTTTCTATGACCTCGCACCTTTAAATGTATGTTATCTCAACTTTTTTTTTCTAAAAGAATCATCAAAGTGTCGTGAACACAAAGTTGAGTACTTGTCAATGGAATGAGGAAACCCACAAGGAGACAAAGGCAGAATAAAAGTTGATCTGTGGATCTCTGGGATCAAAATAAACAGAACTTTTGCCTACATAACAGTTTCAAAATTCCATCTTTTCTTATCTCTATCAGGTTCCTAAACTGAGACTGTTACTTTGTTCCGAGCCGCTGTGTGGTCATGCAGGTGCTACGCGAGCCTAATGTCCCTCAGCTGTATCACCCTGAATACAAATACTAAAGCAGATTTAGTAAGAGAACAAAAGAGCATAAGATACTAAGTTGAACAAGCTTTCAATGAGACACCGTCACACAGTCTCACGAAATCGTAATAACACTATTATCAGCAAATCACAGAACGGGTGAGGTGTGAACCAACTTGCCATGGGTCAAGCCTCACCCGTTCCGTGGATTTTTTTTTTTTCCCAAGATTTCGATAAGTCGCAACAGAGCGAAACACTGTCCCAACAGAAGGTAGGTGTCTGCAAAACGGTATTTCCAACACGCGTTTTTTTTTTTTAACACAAGAAACTTATACTTATATCTCACGTGTACGACTATGTGGAAACTTCAACACTAAAGAAATCGTGTAAAAAATATGAACCGACTAAACAAGAATTTTAAAAATAATTGTAGAACAATAATTTGTCTCAAAATATAGCATCGCTTGACTTGAACATAAGTAAACAGCCATGCAAGATCAAAGTTGTATTATAGATAATGCAACCTAACTCAACATATTGTTTATTATATCGCTATGTTTGTAGTGAAATAAAGTAGCAATTTTCCTGCCTATGTATGCTACATACATCAGCTGGCAATTTTCCTGCCTATGTATGCTACATACATCGCTTCTCAATCACCTCAAAATACCCTTCTGTAATATCTTGTACTAGTTTTAAATTCAGTCCTGACCGCAGTCTTAAACTATGTATGTAAAACTCATTTACATGCTTCATGCCATGCTCTCGTAACTGTGAAATTATTACAGGGTAGTTTTCATCTACATTACGCCAAACAAAATCTTTAGCCGCATCTGTTGATGTATTGTCATTTTTTTTCAGAAGCGGTAAACCCGAGGGAGTCATACAACAAACTTTTCAAAGACAACTGATTTTTTCTTGTTTTACCATTTCGACTAAAACAATTTTATTTCGAGTCTCCTCACCTCAGTAACAAACGTGGATCATAATATTGATGGTATAAACTAATACAGGTAAATAAATCACTGCTTTGATACCTTTCGCCTCTACACTAGACTTAGGTTGACTACAACACTGGAGACAGTAGAAGTATTTTCGACATGATCAGTCCGCCAAATTCGAGGGACTGACCACCTCTCAAGAATGACGGAGTGATCATATCAAAAAATACTACCGTCTCCAGTGTTTTATTCACCTGTATTATACTGAAGAAGCCTGTTGTGCAGGCGAAACGTTTCTGCAATAAAGATACCGAAGTGTTGCACATGTGTCTTACCGACAGGGATCAATACAGCACCTTGGAGAATGGAAAGCAATTAGGTTCTATGCAAAAACGGGGAGGGCGGGTCGAGATCCTGGGAGCTATTGCTCCGAGGATCTGGACCTAAGATGGATCATACTGCTCCACATAGTGCTTAGTGCAGCACTTTCTATTATATCTCAGATGAAGCACGCTTAGGAAATGGCAGCCAATCAAGTATGACCCGAGAAAAATGAAGAAGCTCCAATTATTTGGATCAAGAGACCTTCACCAACATGAAGGCACTCCCTTGAAGAACCTCTCACCTTTAATTAAGCAACTTTGACTCGGATCGCTACTATGCTAAGGTCGCTCAAGCACACGGTATTGATTTTTCACGCTAAGACTAGTTAATGTAGTTTGCATCTCATTATTATAAAAGTTGTGGGGAAGCGCTAAACCCGCGGGAACTCACAGAGCGCCTGGGAAATGGGAGGTCATCAGGCTTAATTCAAGGAAAAGGAAGATAGCTCCCATTCCTTTGATCAAGAGCCCTTCACAGCCATTAAGGGGGTTTCGCATTTCAACGCTCACAGATATTAGGTATTATAAAAGCAAGGTTTTATTTTAACCTAGGAGAGCCTAGCACAGCAGCAAAAAGTTTATTTCAAGTGGGAGCTTTCCCCACTAGCTTGGCAATAAGTCTCTGATTGCCCAGAAATCGAACCCGGGTCGTTTCGGTTGAGAGCCAAGCCCTCCACTACTAGGCCACAATGTCACACTTACCATACATTTATGTTGACTAAAACCTTTTTTCCACACCGAACTCAATGTTTCTAATCTTAGCTCTGAGTGAATGATGGTTTCTCCTAACAAAGAGCTGTTACCTGGAGCAGTTTCCGGAGGTCACCGCCCTCGCGGCCCGATCCCAGACCAGGCCTCCTGATCACTGGCTTGATCAAACTACTTGTGCTTGCCACCTGCGTCCAATGTGTACATCATAACCCGGCTGATCAGGAACTGTTTTGAGGAATCTGTAGTTCCCTCTTGAAGACAGCTGAGGTTAGTTGATAATCCCCATTATACATAAAGGGAGGGCGTTGAAGAATCGTGGTCCCTTAGCACTTAATAAATGCTCTCTTTGTGTACTCATTGCTCCCCCTGCTTTTCACTAGGGGTATCCTGCACCGTCTGCCAAACTTTTTGTGCTCATATGTAGTTATTTCGGTGTGCAGATTTGGAACCACTCCCTCCATTATCTTCCAGATGTAGATTATGATGCATCTTTCTCGCCTACGTTCTAAGGAGCACAATTATAGGAGACTTCAAGCTCTCCTAGTAATTTAGGTGCTTGAATGAGCAAACTTATACTCTGGAAATGACACTATATGCTGTTTCGGTCTATCCTGGGCCCTTATTGAGAAATAACTGACTAATAATGGTCCAGGATGGACCGAAACGCCGTCTATACTTCCTCTCCGAAATGTTGGTTATTTTCCAGTTGCTCCAGCCACGGTACCGTGACGTTAATTCTTCCGAACACCATAATGTTATCTAATCATTATTATTGTTTGTGGCTTGTGCTGCGCATTCGAAATAAAAATGGAATGGACCCAGGTTCAATTCCAGAGCTGGTAAATAAGTAACTCGGTGCTAGACCACTGTTGTGGGACATATTTTACTTGGCTGTGCTGAGTTTTCCTACACTAAATAAACCAAGAATGCTTTTTTTTTTACACGTAATCTTGTGGACATCTATACAGCGATTATTATTTGCATGGATAAGCGCCAGACCTATTGGGCTTATTGAGCATCTGGGGAATGAGAGCATATCGGGTTTAATTCTGGTTAGCAGTAATCTGAAACCAAGACAACAGTGCATAAGTGTTCGCGATAAAGCTAATAGAATCCTTGGCTTCATATCAAGAAGCATAAATAATAGGAGTCCTCAGGTTGTTCTTCAACTCTATACATCCTTGGTTAGGCCTCATTTAGATTATGCTGCACAGTTTTGGTCACCGTATTACAGAATGGATATAAATGCTCTGGAAAATGTACAAAGGAGGATGACAAAGTTGATTCCATGTATCAGAAACCTTCCCTATGAGGATAGACTAAGGGCCCTAAATCTGCACTCTCTAGAAAGACGTAGAATTAGGGGGGATATGATTGAGGTGTATAAAAATGGAAGACAGGAATAAATAAAGAGGATGTAAATAGTATGCTGAAAATATCTAGCCTAGACAGGACTCGCAGCAATGTTTTAAGTTGGAAAAATTCAGATTCAGGAAGGATATAGGAAAGTACTGGTTTGGTAATCGAGTTGTGGATGAGTGGAACAAACTCCCAAGTACAGTTATAGAGGCCAGAACGTTGTGTAGCTTTAAAAATAGGTTGGATAAATACATGAGTGGATGTGGGTGGGTGTGAGTTAGACCTGATAGCTTGTGCTACCAGGTCGGTTGCCGTGTTCCTCCCTTAAATCAATGTGACCTGACCTGACTAGGTTGGGCGCATTGGCTTAAGCCGGTAGGAGACTTGGACCTGCCTCGCATTGGCCAGTAGGCCTGCTGCAGTGTTCCTTCGTTCTTATGTTCTTATGTTCTTGAATCAAGAGCTTTAAGAGTACCCGTGGCTCGATAGCCAACGCTCTCGCCTCACACACTGTACGTGGTTCAATCCCAGGTACGGGTGGAAACACTGGGTTTGTTTCTATACACCTGCTGCCCCCGTTCATCTAGCAGTAAGTAGGTATCTGGGTGTTAGTCGACTGGTGTGGGTCGCATCCTGGGAGACAAGACTGAAGGACCCCAATGGAAATAAGACTGTCCTCTAAGACGCACCGACTTTCTTGGTTTATCCTGGG